TTCTGGTGATACAGTATCCACAACAATATCTGTTCTTAACAGGACAATGGTGGTAATCAAAAAGACATCATACTGAGAAATGTTTCTGTCCCTACAAAAAGTTGAGAGAGGTTGTGAAAGGAATCATGAAAGCTCAGTTCTCTGACTTTGCCCTCTGTGTTGTCCCAGCAGACTCCCTGTTCAGTAGCCTGGGCCTGGGAGCGGTGGTGGGACTGGGCGTGGCGGCCCTGGTTCTCATTCTGGTGGCTGTGGATGTTAGCTGTTTCTTTCTGAAGCAGTGTGGCCTGCTCATGTGCATCACCAGAAAGGGCTGTGGGAAAAAGACAGCCACCAGTGGCAAAAGCAAAGACTTGGAGGAAGGGAAGGCCGCTTACCTGTAAGTACCTGCTCTAGTGCATCAACATTCCCACCTAAACAGATACTGTTAAACTTCTCTGGCAATGTATAAATGTGAAATAAATTAATCATACAGTAATATCATATTAAAGGCTCTGTGTTTGGTTCTAGCATTTGGTGCCTGTCTCCATGGAATTTATGAATGTACCCATATGGTTTATGTCCCTAAGGCAGAAGGATAAGCTCCCCACATCTTTGCTTTCCGATGAGCATTTTAGTAATTCATTCTTACAACATGTCCAGGTCATGAGATTAACTGAATAGATTAACATACATTTGTTTTACTGAAACATACAGTGGTGTGAAAAAGTGTTTGCCCCCTTCCTGATTTCTTATTTTTTTGCATGTTTGTCACACTGAAATGACACAAATTTAAATATTAGACAAAGATAACACAAGTAAACACAAAATTCAGTTTTTAAATGAAGATTTTTATTATTAAGGGAAAAAAAAAATCCAAACCTACATGGCCATGTGTGAAAAAGTGATTGCCCCCTAAACCTAATAACTGGTTGGGCCACCCTTAGCAGCAACAACTGCAATCAAGCATTTGCGATAACTGGCAATGAGGAATTTTGGCCCACTCATCTTTGCAGAATTGTTGTAATTCAGCCACATTGGAGGGTTTTTGAGCCTTAACCGCTTTTTTAAGGTCATGCCACAACATCTCAATCGGATTCAGGTCAGGACTTTGACTAGGCCACTCCAAAGTCTTAATTTTGTTTTTCTTAAGCCATTCAGAGGTGGACTTGCTGGTGTGTTTTGGATCATTGTCCTGCTGCAGAACCCAAGTGCGCTTTAGCTTGAGGTCACAAACAGATGGCTGGACATTCTCCTTCAGGATTTTTTGGTAGACAGCAGAATTCATGGTTCCATTTACCACAGCAAGTCTTCCAGGTCCTGAAGCAGCAAAACAGCCCTAGACCATCACACTACCACCACCATATTTTACTGTTGGTATGATGTTCCTTTTCTGAAATGCTGTGTTACTTTTACGCCAGATGTAATGGGACACACACCTTCTAAAAAGTTCAACTTTTGTCTCATCAGTCCACAGAGTATTATCCCAAATGTCTTGGGGATCATCAAGATGTTTTCTGGCAATACTGAGACGAGCCTTTATATTCTTTTTGCTCAGCAGTGGTTTTCGTCTTGGAACTCTGCCATGCAGGCCATTTTTGCCCAGTCTCTTTCTCATGGTGGAGTCATGAACACTGACCTTAACTGAGGCAGGTGAAGCTTGCAGTTCTTTGGATGTTGTTGTGGGTTTTTTTGTGACCTCTTGGTTGAGTCGTTGATGTGCTCTTGGGGTAGTTTTGGTCGGCCGGCCACTCCTGGGAAGGTTCACCACTGTTCCATGTTTTCGCCATTTGTGGATAATGGCTCTCACTGTGGTTTGTTGGAATCCTAAAGCTTTAGAAATGGCTTTATAACCTTTTCCAGACTGATAAATCTCAATTACTCTGTTTCTCATTTGTTCCTGAATTTCTCTGGTTCGCAGCATGATGTCTTGCTTTTGAGGATCTTTTGGTCTACTTCACTTTGTCAGGCAGGTCCTATTTAAGTGATTTCTTGATTGAGAACAGGTGTGGCAGTAATCAGGCCTGGGTGTGGCTAGAGAAATTGAACTCAGCTTTCCAAAGATGTGATAAACCACAGTTGATTTATGTTTTAACAGGGGGGGGCAATCACTTTTTCAACAAAGGGCCATGTAGGTTTGGATTTTTTTAAACCTCCATTGGATTTTTTTAAAAACCTCCATTTAAAAACTGCATTTTGTGTTTACTTGTGTTATCTTTGTCTAATATTTCAATTTGCTTGATGATCTGAAACATTTCAGTGTGACAAACATGCAAAAAAATAAGAAATCAGGAAGGGGGCAAACACTTTTTCACACCACTGTACATAACATACATAATAGTTTAATGGCTAGCAAGACAATGAACTTTTTTATGCTTTTAATCTTATTTATTTCATTGTAAGAACGTTTTCTGTCTTATTTACCACCTGATAATTTTTTAACAAGTTTTTTTTTTTCTGGTTCATATGCTCCTAAAACTAGTTCACTTCTTTTTTTCATTTGTGCTTGAAGATGAATTTAGCAAATATAGTGCATCAATCCATTCTCTTACCACTTTATCCACTACAGGGCTGTACAGGGCTCTAGAACTCAGAGCAACAGGCTCATGGCAGGATACACCCTGGATAGGACGCTACTCCATTGCAGGGCACACATAGACACAAACTCACACACACTCACATAAGAGTCAATCTTCCAAGAAGCCAATTAAACCACCAGTCTTTGAACTGTAGGAGGAAAGTAGAACACCTGGGAAAAACCGATACAGTCACAGGGAGAACATACAAACTCCACTCAGCTAGTACCTAATGAAACTGACTTTACAGCCCCAGGACGCAGAGGTAGCAATCTTAACCACTGTGCCACTATGCCATTCAATATAGCACATTTACAGGACAATTTAATGTTTCTGTCATAGATGAGGTGAAAAGTGAATTGAATTCCAAATGGAAACTCAGTGTCAGTGCCTTCCAAGCTGCCTTCCAAGCCTTCCAAGCTGGTGACTGTCAAAGAGGGTTTGTAGGTGAACCAATAGATTTAACATCAATTAGGTTTTTATAGTATCCACTATATTAACCTTAAATACAGTATTTTATGTCATTAGGGCATATATTGCTTCTGTATTTATAACCCCTCACTATTTGTTTCCATTTTTCAGCAGATACTATATATTTCAAATTGTGATATTCATTTCAAATGTCTTTCCTATTTTAGTCTTGCCATTGTTGTAACAGAAGAAATAAGGTTCTTGATCCCGAGATGAAGTAAAACAGATGAGTTTATTGCATGCAAGGAA